TTGAAGTAATAAATATAAAGTTAAAGTAATAAATAGAAATATACAGTTAAAAGTAACAAGTATAAATGTAAAGTTAAAGTAACAAATATAAATGTACAATTAAAAGTAACAAGTATAAATGTAAAGTTGAAGTAACAAATATAAATGTAAAGTTAAAGTAACACTTTCACTTTATTGGCTAACAGTTAATGAACAATTATTTTTTGAGTCATCATGGAAATTACTAACGTAAAGTATACTACACTAAAAAGGAGGTTCTCTGTTAAAAATAACGGTGACAGTTTACCCTCCAATCTTCCGCGTGTGACTTAATATTCAGAAATGCAAGAACAGAGTAGAAAATCGAATCTCTTAGCATGTCGTGCTAGTAGTACCAGCGCTATAGTATCGTGACACAGATCGTGAATGGAAGTGCATATTGCAGTGCATAAAAAATAAGAGTTCCAGTTTACGTCGAAGCGAGATTAACCCATTGGTATCACGCGAGTTACGTTGTGCAAGGTGATTAATTGCAATGTGCACTATGTAAGGCGTGTCTTGCAAAGTGCGCCGTTCCTTTCGAAAATTGGTGGCGCACCAGATAGGTTCCCATGGAAGAAAAACGGAATGCGAATTCCTCGAAGGAAGTCGTTGTTAACATGAATCGTGAATGTGTATGTGCGTTCTGCGTAAAGCTAGGTTTTATTCGATGCACATGCCGGGCAAGAGAGACCAGCAAGAACTGGAATGCTCAGAATGTTAATCGTTTAATGGGATATAATCAGTTAATGGGAGTCTGCATTCAACCGAAGCCTCCCATACAAGCCGGATGATCGCGTTTCGCCCCTCGTGTCACTTCTCTTTCGCTTTTTATTCCGACAATGAAGATTAGCTTGCTAGTTGAAAGATGAATTATCGAGACGGATTCGCGAAACCGACCTGGAAAACGAGATATCGTTACATACAATTCTTATAATTAATACGGAGTTTACATATTTCATAACAATATCAATGTTTTACTTACTTAAGTAATTTTATTATTATATATTATTATTATATATTTTTTATTATTATATATTATTATATATTATTATATTATTATATAATTTTATTATTATTATAAATAAATATAAAATTATTAATTTAATTTTAATACATATGAAATAAAAATTTTAAAATATATATAAAAACTATTAATTTAATTTTACTTAAAATTACTTC